CAGGAGCTTTTAATAGATGCAACATTATCGTTTAGAAACTTGCTCGGACTTTTTAAGTAGAAGTTGAAAACCTCTTGTCATTAAAAAAATTAAGTTCCAAGATAAAGTTACCACGTGTTCCAATGTTTATAAACATTTCAGCCGCAATTCGTTAATAAAAATTACAAACCTACTCACTATAATGAAAGTAAGATATTAATTACATGTATAAAAGAAACGTAATATATGTTACAAAAATATTTGCAAAATGATAAAATGCTTTATCACGAAGTTACAAGACAAATATAAAATAAGGGCGTAAAGGCGTTCTATTTAATGCAACGTAGGTAAGAAAGTATTTATTATTATTTAATAATTCAAACATTGAAATGAAAGAAGCTAACCAACGATTAAGTACACGACGCAACGAATTCAATTTTTTATAGATCTCAATTCGGCATTTGCGACGTTACGATTCGAAATGGAGCTGAAACAAGTATGGTCAATGTAACAAAAATTAGTCGATTGTTTTATCGTGTTTCTGTCATAACTGTTCGATAAAGTATTTACGAAGTTTCGTTGATATAACAACCTTTCCCTTTTCTGTCTCGTGGAACGTCCTGGTTTGCCGGGAAAACGCAGCAGAACTCATCCACAACGTTTATTTCTATCTCATAAAAATTGTAATAGTAGAATCGAATGAACCAGGACCAATGTACGTTGCGTGATTTTAACAATAATTGCAGTATTGCATGTTGATCGGAACACTTCGTACTAATTTTAATATTCACTATTAAATATTCACAGTAAAATATTCGCAGTAGAATATTCATAATTTTAATAGAAACTTAATTAATTTTATCGTTGATTTATTTAACACAAATTCTATACACGAATAAAATTTGTTCGACCCACTCAGGTTCCAAGTAAAAACAAGTACAATTTAAATCCATGATGTTTCGCTTGTAGTTTTTAGAACGCGAACGGAAACAAATCAATGTTCACAGTACTTAAAAAAGGAGTGCATTTTCGTCTCGAGAAACTTGAACTTTCTTCAGTGGAAAATGGAAGAAGTATTTAAGCGATACTCCCTGGATAATTATGTTCATTGCTGCGAAGAAAATAAAATATTGAACAGGCTGCGAAACTTTTAAAACCGTTTGAAGAACGATGAAGACGATTACATGCTTTGTATTTTTAATGAATTTTAATTACATGTATTTTAGTTTGTATTTTTTCAATAATGCAACATCCTAAAAGAGTGTAAATGTTGCTTCAGAGAAACTGTTAGCAAGTTCATCTTGTAATTCGAGTGATCCATTAAGCAGAATTCGCACGATTACTATCTGCACCAGCGAAATTGTTATTAATCATTACAATGCGAAAGAAACTTCCTACTTCCACCGCGAAGTAGTCGCGTAATGTATCCATTAAAAATTTTAAAGATCATTTCACTCCCATTCGAGAGATTGGACGAAAAGAATGATAGAAGTAGATAGTCACAATAAACCTTCATTCGAAGCCTATCACGCTAATGAAAATTGCTACGTTATGTCGGAAAGAGTTAGGCTACTTTCCATGCTACCCACGCGCGGTTTGCGTAGTACTAAATTGTTCGACGCGTTACCAAGAAGATGTGTCGAGTTTATTATGTACGCTGATCAAAGTCGAGTGACATCCTCCTAACGAAACGGATTTTATCTGCGTTGATAACGACGAGAATAAATTGTCCTTTACATTGAACTTCTTAATTCTGTGACACAATTATCACTTAGCTGTGTTTCCAAATTGTTAAATAACGTGTGTTTACATTGTGACGCAAATGTTCGTAATTGATTTCCACTTTTATTTCGCTTTTGTCTCGAAGTATTGTAATAAAATATTATATATTTTATTAAATGTTATATATTTCATAAAATATTATATATTTTATTAAATATTATATATTTTATAAAATATTATATATTTTATAAAATATTATATACTTTATTAAATGTTATATATTTTATAAAATATTATATACTTTATTAAATGTTATATATTTTATAAAATATTATATATTTTCTTATATTTTATTTCATTGAAAATTTAAAAAAATGTACACTGCGATAACAGATCCTATGCAGTAATATGATATATATTGTCTCAAGTGAACAATCCCAAAAATTTGCGATTAACTGTTCGAAACTATGTAAAACTCGTTATTTTCTATTCTCTTTCATTTTGAAAGAATTAATTGTGTTATTCCAAACGAGACGAAAGAAAAGTGCAACGTATAATTGTAACAAACTGCGTAAGTACTGCGGGACCACGTTGAGAAAAGTGTAATTGATGTTTTTAAAACAATCCCCCCTGTTCTGTAATTGTAAAGGATAACGCATGTCAAGCAGAGTTTATACTTTCGAGGATCTGAGATCATTTGATTTCATCAAAGCACAAAACAACAGGGAAAGAGTTTTTATGCTCGAAGATTTTCTATAGCAATCTCTGTATTATTATAATTTCTGTAACACTTAAAAACTAATACCAAGAGAATTATATGCATGTTGAAAATTTCATTGAAATCGGTTGACGAATGGATAAGCTACAGCCACTGAAATTCATAGTATTTCACGAATTTCGATGAAATTATCAGCATGATTATAAGTTACCGAGAAGTACCAAATACATTTTTTAAATTTTCATTATGGGCTCAGATGAAGAAGTGAAATAACGAGAGTTTCTTTTCCAGTAATTTTCCAAGTAATAGCAAAATTTAAAAAAGAAAGTATTTTAGTCATTATACAGTGAACTAGTCGCTCTAACATTTACAGAAAAATTCAAGTAACTTAGATCAGTGTTAAAAATAGTTATACCGTTTTAAAACTGATGACTCGGTTTGACTCCCTAGTTTATATTGAATTTATTGTACAAATTTTCAATCGTCCAATTTTTAATTATTTGTATGATTACTTCAACACTGATATTTATTGGTCTAAACAATGATATATTCTACACCTAATAAGTTACTAAAATAATGTTTCTATTTATGAATTTCTCCACATTATGTAATGATGAAATTACACAATAAATGCAGCCAAGGATTGTTCATTTCAATGACTACTGTGTTTAATAAGTATTTAATAGTAACAGATAGTATTTAGTTGTATTTTAAATTGTTTTTTCTAACATTCGTGACACGTAATATAGCGAGAACAATAAAAGTGTACATAGAAGTAATATTAAATTATAGAACACCTGATGGGACTAGCTGTTAAGTGACGTTTCGTTATGCAAAAACATTGAACGATACAAAATTGAAGATACTACATACCAGCTGCGTTGCTCGCAAAGCAGAAGATGATCATAAAGGTCCAGGTGCGTATAAAAATCGTCACTGAGCTCTCGGATGTGATCGCCATGTGACCAGTTGTACTCTGAACAAGAAAAGTACGTAAATGTAATTATATACGAACACTCGTTTCAGCAATTAGAGCATTGCAGAATATTTAGTAAAACAGATATGAATAACGATTTGAATAAAAAAATTGCTGGCCTAGGTACATTTCTGGAAAGAAAACAATTGTTATTGATGAAACAATATGTGCTTTAGTGTGGTTAAGTCAGGACCATTCATAATTTTCATTGTCATTTTCACGAGAAGCGTTTAATGGTTAAATTGATTGATCATTGATCGATTATATGTTTTGTATCTCACAATTTTTCTCATACACGTTCGATCTTGTAGAATCGAAGGAATGAGCATTGAATTTAAAATCGATCCAATTACCGAGCAAGACCGCTCAATATCGTCGTATACTTTTTAGAAAACACAATAAAAAGAATAATCCGAATGTTTCGTTGAATAAACTCAATAAGAGATATCGGGGCACAACAATTTTATAATCTCCGACGAAATTCAATTAGTTTCCACGAAAAAGCGCCTCCGGCCGGAAGTAAACAATTGTAGCGGATAAAGTCGAGCTACATCGATATTTTCGCAGTCTGTCCAAACAATCAATGAAATATTAAACACGTTTGCCTTCAAATTAATTTCGCCACTTGTTCAAAGAGAGCGACACGACTTGGAATTTCGCCAATAATATTATCTCAATTAACCATATTTTTGAGAGTTAAAAATAGCGACACGAACTGACCTTTTCAGTATATTAAGCGATATGTACTATTGCGAAAAGAAATTTCGAAATCTACTTTCTAATAATAAAAAAAGAAACATTGTTAGATTGTGTTATCTCAGATAATTTGTTGGTTCAGCATCGAAAATTGCAATCGCTATTGAAACGACCGGTTCTAAAGACGCATTTGTGTACTTTATGTAATGGAAATAGAATTCTGCTATAGCGAAACGAAATCTCGAAATTTTCTGTTAAGTATTCCGCGCAGAAAGAAAACGATTAGAATTGTTGCACTCTTTGGCAGTTTATTTAGCGAAGTATAAATGACAAAACGAAGCTTAAAATTTGCCTTTCGAATAGCAAACTCCCAGAACGAATTGTATAATAGAATAGTGATGCAGATGATTTATTGGTTCGCGATTGAAGCTGCCATAGTTATTTATCGCAATGATTCGTCAGCGGTGGATTAAAGACTTTGAAAAACGATTGAATAAATGCGAAGTGGATAACGCGCATCAAGCTTCCATTCTCGGCGGGAAGAAAATATTTAGCGAAATGAAGAGAAACGACGATAAATCGGGTGAAATCCCAACGGCGTTTCTTCAGAATTGAGATAAACATGGCAAGTTAATTATCATTTCCATCGAATCGTACTGCTCCCTTTCGCGTCACCGAAAGGTCCGAATAGGTAGAACGAGCTTCCAGGTAACATTATTATAACAGACACGGGACTAACAAAAAAAGCTCTCATTCATAATCAATTTAAACTTCGGAATCCCGACCTATCGCAACTATTTCATACCGAATAATTTATGTACAATTGGCTCAAACGATTTCAATTATTGTTGAAATGTTACACCGACTAGTTTTCTGGGGAATTTTTTAGACCGTAATTAATTGGGACGATGAAGCATATTAAAAAATGTTTCTTCAACTTTTTTACTCGAGCACGGAACGAAAATTTAAAATAATGCGTTTTGTCGATATCGGTAACTTACGCACATGCGGAAAACAGTATTGATATCGATCGACGCGTAGTTAAACTTTTGCTTGAAATTCGTGAAAAACTGCTACTTTCCACGAACCTAATGAAATTTTCAACGTTACCGAGGCTTAGGAAACGCATTTTTCTTTAAATCTTCGTTAGAGACTCGCATGAAAATGTTGAGAAAACATTATCTTCTAATTTTCTTATCATACCCGACCAAATTTTTCGAAATCTAAAAAAATTGATTGATTCTCGAAAAAACTAGTCGGTCTAACGTTTAAAAAGAAATCCAAGCATTTCGACCAATTTTCCGACGCGAGAGTATACGCGCACAGTGTCAAGAACGTCATCACTCTTTTATTGCGTCATCGTTTCTCAATAATGACCTAATAAAAAAAGAAACGAACGAAACACCGCAAAAGATTATCTTTAGAATTCGCGATTTCAATCAGCGTAACTTTGCCGAACGGCTAGCACCTACGAACAAATACGATATTTGACTATTAAAAAATGGCACGAAAAATGCCATGGAAAACGTCACGACAAATTACGAAACATTTAACTCCTGGCTCTGCAACAGCCCGTGTTTTCAACTTTCTACGCGCCGAAAGTTTGACAATGGTAGCACACGAGTCCAGCACCGAAGCTCACCGCAAGAAAACCGCAAACCTAGTATGGCTTGTAACGTGCGTAGACAAGTGAAATACAGTTTGAATAATCGTCGCTGGAGGGATTGTCTCGAGACAAAGATTAACGCGGCACAATCGTGTTCAACACGTTGATTACCGGACAGCTCCGAAACAATTTCACAAACCCGAGGCAATCTCTACAATATGAGGCAAGTGTCGGACCCATGGAACAGCGTTGTAACCGAGAGACATACATGACAATAACTTGTGGTTCCTATTTTGCCCAATTGCTGTGCATCAAAGTCTCCGAAACTGATTCAAAACTTGCTTATGCGACTTGATTTCTAGCGCGTTGCCGTCGCGTTACCCGAAATAATGCCGATTCGACGGAAATATTCGGTTTCGAAAATCTGCTCAGAGAAAACGTGAGTTATGCCAGAACGTGTGATTCTCGCGGTGCGATTCGAACTACAATTCGGCCGACGAATTGCACGAAAATAGCGGATCTTGAAGGGAGAACGGTTGAGAATTCGTCGACGGTCTGTGCGAGATTGTTCGACGCGCTGCTTCGGACTCGTTAAAATCGCACACTTTAATCGGCGTTCGACCCCTTCTTTCCGGTGTCTATCATTTTTTCACCTTGGATTCGAAACAGAATAGGTAACCGGAAGTTGGCCGGAGGGCTGCGAGCGACGAACCGGTCGCTACTCGTGGTCGCACACAAGTTCACCAAAAATCGAAATTCCACGCTCGGCCTACGGAAGATCCCGATCGAAGGGCTCGGCGAGTAAACTCGAAGCCAGCAGGTCGCGCGATGAGGGCTTTTATAGATGTGTCCGGTACACGGTGGAGCATGGTGGTACACGCCAAACGGTGGTGGTGGTGGGGTTGCGATCCACGCGCCTTTCGAATGCGCACCTGCGTCGGCGGATAGGGGTGTTCTTTCCTTTCCGGATCAAAGGGTAGGTCGTTCTGTGTATTCTTAGGGATCGCGGATTCGCGCTGCTAAATTTATTCAGCGGATTATTATGCACAAATTTAACCTGTTCGCATTTTGCCTGCCGGGCTACTAATACATATATATCGGTGACGGAATTATTTGCTCAGATATGAAGATGTTCATTTGGACGGTAGTCTTCTCCGTTACAGTGCTGGACGAGAGAATAAGTCACTTGACACAGTTCGTAATTGTTTATATTTAAGGGTATAAAACTGTTCACTTTGTACAGGGTGAGTCATAAATTAGTCTCCAGGATTTTTCAGCCCCTATCGATGGTATGACATAAAAATGATTTCAATTGAAGTTAATCAGTGTTTAACCGACTAGAAATTGCAATTGTTTAAATTTAGAAATAAATTGACTTTTGTGATCAAGAAAACAATGTCATCGTTATATTTTTAAATAAAACTAGGAAATTTGAACTTCGCAGTATTGTAGGCGACGTCGAGACGGATTCAATGACCTTAAAATGATATTGAAGAAAAAATTGCTATGAATCGATTGTCAGTACAATTGTTAACAATTGAAATATGTTGATAAGTGTGTAACAGTATTCTTAAATTTTTCTAATACGTGTTTTCAGAGTTTCGTATTTCACCCATTAATTTCTGTCATAAATGCATAAAATTCGCAGTCCAATCGTCAGCATGTCAGTCATAATGACTTTAAGCAGTCATTGTTCTTGAATTTTTTCAGTCCACATTAGATTTGTTTTATTGCATTCTGAGGCTAATATAGATTGTGACTTTGTGACGTATACACATGTTTTCAAATACAATTTCAATTCCATTTTCCATTAGTAACTTTCATGATGTGTTTCGTGATTTCAGAACGAGGAATTAGCATATCTCTTAGATTATGTACGTCTGCTGCGACTTCTTTAGCAAGTTTCGTCGGTTAATTTGTATTCATAGCCAGGCAATGCGATTTTTCGTTTGTTTGAATTCGGTGTTTAATTGGCGTCCGATCCTGTTGCATTTGTTTATACTATAATACGACCCTCTGTTCTGAAACTGCTAAAATGTCTACAAGTGATTAATTTATATTATTAAGAATTCTAAATAGACTGCTCACATCGAACTTAATTATTCGTAGGCATACTTGAAATTAAGTGGTTTTTTAAGCAAGCAAATCATCTACTTTTTCCTCTAATTTTTTTTCCTCTAAGCAATCCTCTTTAATATTTTATATAACATTATAATTAAATTATTATGTACACTTCACTTTATTATTGTTGGCTTAACGATTTTACTCGTTTGCATTTAATAATCTTGAGCATATAAAGATTCAAGAATCTGTTTGCATAACTTTCACTGGGAAATTCGAGGCCGAAATAAATATAGTCATCGAAGCAGCATCAGTAATTTATTTAATTACATATATGAGTAACATTGGTTTGCAAATCTGACCAGCATTGGTTATTTCTGCTTACTGTAATATATGAAAATTTTGATATCGATATAATATTTGTTTTATCCGACAATTTTGTATACTATAATTTCTAGAGAATATCAAATTCAATAAACTACAAACATCGTCAAAAATCATCGTAGAAAAAATGTACAGTTCTATTTTAAAAAATCAAGGTCACCTTCAAATCTCATGGGCACATTCATCTAGAGAGCATTTATGGTCATTATAAGATGTACCCCTTGAAGAAGGGTACGTTTCATTCAGAACGTTTTTAGAAACAACCTATAGTTTTGGAGATAATTATTGATAGATGGAGATAATGAAGTGCAAATCTTCAAATGGATCACATGATTGATCACATGATTTCGTACATCATATGAAAGATTTTCCAGCGTTTTTTTATCTGATCGTCACGGTTCCATTTACAATACCCATTATCTCTAGATGTACTTAACAAGTTTAACAATGGATATTGGTAAACATTTTTACAATATTCTGAATAAATGAAATTTTCCTGCGAGCGGTTCGTGATCAAATTAGGAACCACGAGTAGGAAAAGAAATAAGAGGCACGAGAGAAGTTAAGAACAGATGAACTTTATATAGCAGAGTCATTATGTATACGCGTGTTTTCATAACTTCTCTCCACATACCGAAGTAAAATAGTTACTTTCGCCGTGTTCCTTCGCATAAATTTTGACGGGAACCGGTTTGCATAGTGCTCGTAAAGCCTGCGCCTTAAAGACACGGTAGTTATGAATATTTCGCAAAACTTGGAGAAATGTTTAACAATCGATTATTTGTAACACGTTTAAAGGAAGTTCCAGCCGGAAAAAAGAGGCTGCGTTGTTTTGCAGGATCGTGCAATGCGTGAGCGTAGGAGTTCTCCTATCGCATTCCGATTTCCGGCAATGGTGCCGTGTAATATATATCTGAAACAATAATGACTACAAAAGTTTTTAATATCTCTCGTAATCGTATTTTTGATACTGTTTGATTTTAAAGTACTGTTTCTAAATGCCGTCGGACAGTGGATCATATTTCGATTAAAGCGATTGTCCAAGTGTTTCGATTCATTTCGAACCTAATTGCTTATGCATTCTTCAGTGATTTGTTTTCGAAGACTTTTATTAGCAGAATGAGTTTTTAAAATAATATTGCGTCTAGTAGCATTCGCTAAGATGCGAACCGATATATTAGCGAAGATTTTAAATATTCGGATTGATAACAATTTCGTATTTATTGATTGAACAATGTTGAACAATGAAACACTTCGAAGTAAATTGCGTACACGGTTTTTCGGTGTATAATCTAATAGATTTCAGTAAAATCTAATTGATTTTGAAGTGTAATAATGAAGAAAAGTAAAATAACTCTGTCTTACCCCTTTGTTTGAGTCAAATTGAACCTTAAGTTCTCCAAATAAACTTATTACCCCTTTTTACTTATTTATCATTCTATAAGCAAACTTTATAAAAAATCGACGAAAATGAAATATTTACTTTTTCACTCTCATGTGTCTAATCCAGAAACTAAAACCTGTTTAAAAACTGATAGTTTAAATGATTAGAGGTATCGATTCGCGCGGCGATACGCAAACTCTCCGTACGGATATAAAAACGTCGATGTAACAGACGTAATATTAAGAACTCCATGAAAAGCAATCCAAATATCAATAGTGGATATGAAAAAATGATGTACAAATAGGAAGAAATCCATGCGAAACACAATTTATTGTCAGAAATTCAATCAAATTCAATCATTTCTGGGTATGTACATATGCGGGGGAGCAAGGCTACTAACGTTTATTAAACCATGAGAGCTTCGATAGCCTGCTAAACGTTATAAATTTTATTCGAATATAAGGGAGATTATAAAGTCAATTTCTAACAATTAGATTTAGATTTACGAATGAATAACCTAATTTTTCTCAGATGGTGTTAGAAAATTTACTATAATGCTAAAATGATTTTCCCGCCATTTTGCGGTCATGTAGTGTGGGCCGATAGCTATTGGAAGCGGCATTTGATTTGATGGGAAGTTGCATATAACTTGCATATAACTATCAGAAATAATTGGTACATTAGTGTCATTAATGGCAACCAATAAAGCGTGCATCATCCTACACTAATATTCTTTGCGAATGTCGGCAAGGAAAAAGTGCTGAGATTTGAAAGCAGCGTTTTCAATCAATTGACAATCTAATTTGAAGAGACTACCGGCACACATGATTCATCAGAAACGCAATAACTGCTCGCAAAGAGTTGGGCGCATCGCAACGAACCATTTCGAATGGTTTACTAATCCGCTTAAGCCAAGAATTGCAACGGAAACGACTGTATACTGATAAAGAAGACCATCGCCGACCATACGTTGCTTCTGATACGAAAGAGATTCTATTGAGTCTTGGTTGGACGTTACGAAGCACCCGGAATATTCTCGGAACGTCGTTTCTGATTTTTACCCGTTTCGGTCGATCCAGCACGCCTTGTCTGATACGCACTTCGAATCAGTGCACGAAAAATGATTGGACGGTTTCTTCATGTCCGAAGATACGATATTTTTTCTATATTGAATTCACCACTAGCCTGAAAGATGACTTGGAGTTAGAGAAAAGTAACGGCGATGAGTGTGAATAAAAAATTTATTTCACTTTGTTGTTAAGCGAATCTTAAATGTCGCCAACAAATTTCGATTATTCATTCGTACACCTAATGCAATTGACTCGTATCATTCAGGATAGATACATTCGAAAATATAGCATTGTACGAGGAACATAATTTACTGTCGTAAAAAAGCCATTCACAGCTACATTGTTGTAACCGCTGCGTTCCATCCTTCCAGTTACTAACCGCAACTTGCGTGGCTTCAAAATGAAAGAAACGTACACTTGCTCGAACTTCCGTGGGTCTCTGATTTAATGAATTGATGGAGATGCCGTTACGCATGACAGAAAACTTACTCCTTCAATTATTGAAAAAGTTACTTACTAAAGTCAATTATTGATCATCGAACAATGCCTTTAAAATTGATCGAACGCATGACAAGGATACATTTTCGAGCTTCAAAGTTCATTTCTTTTTTTTCTTCGTTCAAGACAACTTATTATGTTCCTTCATCATTGCACGAATACTTTTACACAATTTACTTATAGGTTTAATTACTCAAATATGAGCCGTTTATTTTGAATGTGGCATAAGTCACTTTGTTTTTAAGTCGATATATTAATTATTATTAATATATGTTATTATTATATTATAATAATATATTATATTATATTATAATATTATTTATAATATATATTATTATTAATATATTAGTTATTAGCGTTTTAACACGTTTAAAAATATGGATGCTAACTTTCGAGAAGATTCACTTGTATTTGTTATCTCAGGA